CAGGTGTTGTTGGAGCCTTTTTTGGGGGATTCAGCAATTATGTGATCTTTAAATTTGGTGAAAAGGCATATGAGGTGAAGGTCTCTAATAAACGGAATATGAATATTAAAGACTTTCCAAAGAATGTAGAATTCACAAACCAGTCACTAACATTATAAACTAGCTTATACTTTAGTATACCAATGTGTTATTTTAGGAGATAAGGTTTTCATGTGTTGTATTTTGTGTTGATCATCTCTATATGAACTCTAAATGATTATTAAATGTTTTCAACATTGCTAATAATCATAAATGTTTCTTGAACATTGAACAGCAAATCAGCATATTAGAATGATTTTCTGAAGCCCCCAAATGTGTTCTTCCAAAATTTGGTCATAGATTGGTCTGTTACATTTTAGTTATTTCGCTCATTAACATTAACTAAAAAGTTATTTTCTTCGACTAAAATCATGTGACATTTTAGTAGGAGTAAAATGAACAAAAATTTGGACATGATGGAACATGATTGAATACATTTTCATAATGTTTCTGTTAAAAGACAAAAGCTATGACCAAAAAAAAAAAAAAACCTGCAATAAATGAGCACTGAAGAGAAAGCAGAGAGAGCGAGAAAGCAGGAATGGGAAACGACAGCTATTTTTGTGTCCTGCATTAACGGCACACTGGACCATTAATTGTGTAATGAACTAAAGGTGGAAGAGGGAATTCAGAACAGGTTTAGCTAGAAGTTGAGGCACAGACACACACTGGTATGGTCATAGTTCAACACACACACACACACACACACACACACAGACACTGATTACCCCATAATGCTCATAATGTCAAACTGACTAATTCATGTCAAGTTTTGAGAGCAAATTCGTTTTTCTGTCCTCACGGAAAGTGAAAATGCTGCATGAAGTCACAAAATTACAAATAATTATATTTAATTTGTTTATTATACAAAGTAGGACATGAATCTGGATTCAAAATTGCCTCATCCAGTCAGAATCAATGTATATTTCTGAGAAACACATGACAAGTTGCTGCATTACGTTACAACTATAAACTACAGTTATAACGAACTTAGATTATTGGCTACATTGCATTATTTTAATCATTAATAGTACTAATTGTAACTATTTATTGTTCTTCGTTGTTCACAATCAGCAACTAAAACTAAATCCATGAAAAAAAATATGTTTTTGGTAATTGAAATAAACCTGAAATAAAATAAAATAAAGCAAAAACTTAAATGAAAATTAGACACTTATTGATTTTCATTATTATATTATATTAGAGTATATTATATTATATTAATATTATATTATATCAATAAAAACAGTGACTGAATTTAATTAGAAATAATAAAAAAATAAAATTCTGAAAAGCACATAACAAAAAACTAAAATGTAAATAAAAACTGAAAACAAAAAAATAATAGATAATTTAAACTATTAACACTGTAGTAGTATATAAATAATAATAATAATAATAAAATAACACTCCACTGTTGATGGATCGACCAGTGAGCCACAATAAAAATATAAACCAAACAAAATGCCTTGCCTTGCAATGATTTTTCATCGTGGCTGGTTATAGGATATGGTGTTAAATGAATCTCATAGGCCAGACCAGTGTCTTCATCGTGCTGGTTTTCAACCTGAAGTTAACCTTCTGTCATACACAAAACACACACTTCTCATCTCCAGGCCACCGCGCTAAATGAGTTTCAGTCCGGTACTCCAGGGGCAGGTTACACTGGACCTCTACTTCAGTGTGCTCATTACCTCATTCAAACACAGATAGCGCTCTCGCAGATTTGATTTGGCCATTATAGGCACAGCGCTGGAGGCCTCGTCCTCCTATTGAGTTTCCGTAACTTGTCCTAACACGGTTTTTACTGGCAGCGAGGTGACATCAGTTTTTAAGTGGACAGCAGGTGGATGGCGATATCAACCTTCAAATGTGAAAGAAACTACTTGTAACTAGAGATGCACCGATGCTACATTTCTCCAATAGCTGATTATTCAGAATGACTTCTACTGATACACTTGTAAAAAGAAAAAAAAAGATAAAAATGTAAATACTGTATATCCAAGATCATTAGAGTATGTTTTACAAGAAAAAAAAAAAATTCTGCTTTTTTTTTTCTACTTCAAAATGTCATGTTTAATTCAATGTGTTTCTTGCCAGTTCTTTGTAATTAATTGTGAAATTTACTTGCAAAACTATACAGGAAACCCTCTCATTTGGTATATTACTATACTATTATAGGTTATAATTAACATCAGAGCCTAAACTATTGCTGTATATTCAACTGCAGTTTATATTCCGATATAATAATCACACTCAAATCAAAATGAAACATTTGTATGCAACATACATACATAATTGACAGTAAGTAAACTTCTCCCTAGTGTTTTTTGTAGCTAACCAACCAACTGTGAACACTGGTAATTTCCTGAGGTAAATGTTATGTGACATATTGTTCACATGCTGTTATATTGACATCTTTCCGTGGTTATAAAACTATCCGAGACGTAATATGTTTCAGTAAGTTGTACTGTGTCTTTCAACAACCTCTGACGTTCATCCATGTTTATTTTGCACAACAACTTGCATTAAATTTGAAGACACTTCCTCTTGAACTGAGGTGCTAAAGCGCCACATTTAATGAACCAAATTTGGGAGCTGAGACTTTGTTTCTAATCAGCAGTAACAAAGCACAAAGCTGTTTGCGATCAATGGATGGGAGCTGCACTACAAATAATGTTTGGTGAAGGGAAAATGCGCATACCTGGCAACCCTGGCTTGAGCTATGGGTAATTCATACAGTCAAACAGAAACTGCGTTCTGTTATTTTTTAAGTGCGATTGTGATAAAGCGTTATAATCACGTTAACTTTGACAGCCCTAAATTCAACACGAGAGGCATTTTCTTTACCCACCGTATGAGTTGCAGTCTGACACGCTTTGATTGACGGCATATAATCGGCTCTGATCAACTGTTTTTAAAAAATCGGCAGAAGCAGTTTTTATCGGCCAATACCGATTATCAGCCGATATATAGGTGCATCCTTATGGTTCAAGCGATGAACCTGATGAACCGAAAGGTAGGATAAAAACAGAAAGGGAAATTAAAACTCCCACAATGCACACACACACACATGAAAATATGCTGATGTTAATTTCCAAGTGTTTCCCAGACCATTATCGTGAGTCATAAATGCGCACAATTCTAGCACGGCCAATAGGATTTCCTCAAGCGGAATGCAGAGAGAGAGAGAGACAGTCGGTGGCATTGTAATTGCATTAGCCTGTGACAGAGAGAAAATGCTCATTGTTGATAAATTAGATTGGGCTTATGAGAAAGTGTGGAAACATTCAGTCTTGCTGGGAAAATCCGACATCTCTTCTCAGCCCTGGACTGCTGTCAATCAAACAACTGACAGATAGATGTCAGGGGTCAGAGGTCAACTCTGACCTGGGGTGGTGAGGAGGTAGGGCACTTAAACACTTAAAAATGCTCAGGTTTTTGTGATGGGGCATCCCTGGAGTCCCAGAGCGCATCTGGATCTGATGAGATGGGTGGGTACCAAAGACAGAAGTCACCCTACAGGAGGCTTTCCCCTGTCCACACCAGCCTTTCCTCTTATTCCACTGCCGTTCCCATTCCTGAGGATCTCCTTTCCCTTAACGGCACTTAGAAGAACACATGTGGTCTATTAGACACAAAAAGACTCATTCAGTTCAGCCCACCAGGCCTGGCCTTTGAAAAACTCCTGAGAAAGAGGGAAGGCAGAAAGAGGCGTTTGGCTGAAGATCAGAGTGATGTGAAGAAGAAATCACTCCCTTCTTCTTGGGAAGGTTCCCCACTGGCTGTTTTAGGGAATCTGTGCATTGACAAGCTTCTTCAAGGAAGGGGCCGCAACCTTTACCATGAGCGATTTAGAAGTAGAGGCTCGAATGAACGGGGCCTCAGTGGTCTCGCTTCCTTTTCCTTTTAGAGGACTCCAGTAGTAGTGAAAGGCTTCTAGAAATAAAGCAGGCTTGGCAGGCGTTTAGCAGCGCATGATGCCAGCAGGGGTCCTGAGCTCAGGGATTCTCCGTGCAGTAGGGAGTCTCAACAAGACCAAGAGGTCTGTCTTCCAATTCGTTGCGTTGGCACATAAAAACTTTAGCTCTTCATGGCTGTAATAAATGTTATACATTGCTGACAGACTAACTGCTATTGCTTTTGATGGTGCTGTTTGAGGGCAGAATCACAAAGGTGGAAATTAATCCCAAGGTGTAACCCACAGGGCACTTTCACACTAGAGTATGGGGTGAAACTCAAGAGTTTGAATTGTTAAAAATGTGGTGTGACCATCAAGTAACACATAATAACCTTACAACTTGAAAACGTGTAAATGTACATATTTTAGTAATTATTTTTGAAAAAAAAAAAAAATAAATAAAAATATATATATATATACAGTGGGTACGGAAAGTATTCAGACCCCCTTCAATTTTTCACTCTTTGTTATATTGCAGCCATTTGCTAAAATCA